ATTCATATTAATGATTTACAGAGACGATGGTGTATGAAGTAGAAAACTGTGCATGTCAGATAATAAATGAACCTGTAGTTAGCACAATTAAGAAGGTAATTAGAATCAGGCGGTTATATCATTCGGTAACAAGTAAACAAGGATTGGTTTAAGCAGCCCTGTCCTAAATAATAGGCAAAAAAGGTCTTCACCATGCAGATTATTGGACACATGTCATGGTAGGATCAAAACAGATATCAGAGAAACTCTGAAAAATATTTTTCTTTACACTTATACTGCTGTCTCTTGTTCAATGACATACAGTAAAGTGTAAAAACTCTTCACAGGACTGGTTGTCCTTCAAATATGTCCAAAGAGCAAACCGGAATGTCAGCCAAGAACTAACAGAGCATCACGTAAGGATCTACAAGCCTCTCTTGCTGTGGCTAATGTCTGTGTTCGTGCCTCAACCTTCAGGAAGAGACTGATGGGACCGGTTTTCATGAGAAAGATGGGCAGGAAGAATCTGTTGCTCTCTGAAAGGAACATTGCTGCTTGTCTCATGTTTGCCAAAGAGCACCTGGATCATCCACAGGACTGCTGGAAGAAGGTTCTCTAGACAGAAGAGTTGAAAGCTGAACTGAAAAAAAGAAATGTTTTTGTGTGGCAAAAACCAAACACTTCCTTCCTACGGGAGACTCTTATCCTGAGTGTCAAGCAGGGAGGTGGGAGGATCAGGGTTTGGGGCTGCTTGCCGACTCAGGACCAGAACTGCTCGTCATCACTGACACAACCATGATTCCAGTGTTGTATCAGCAAATCTGGAGGAGAACGTCAGGCCAGCCCATCGTCAGCGGAAACCGAGCTGAAAGTGGGTCATGCAGCAAGACAATAATCCCAAACAGATCCAGATGCAGATCCACAACAGAATGGCTGAAGAAATTTCACACGTGAAGTTGACCAAGCCAAAACCCCGTTGAGATGTTACGGCAGAACCCAAAGGGAGCTGTTCATTTAAGGAAAGTCTAATGTCACTGAGCTGAAAAACTCTAATAAGTTACAAGCAAATGCAAAAGACTCATAAACAGGTACAGAAAACAAGTAGTTGAAGTCAAGGAGGTGCCAGCAGTTACCAAATCTAGGATGAGGATTCACATACTAAGTCACACAAGGACATTTACTGTTGGATCACTATGCCAAGTATATCATCCAGGTATATCTTATGTCTTTGTTTTATGCATTTAATAAAGTTATCTTTATCTTTCATTAAACTCAGTTTTCATTAAAACTTTCATGAAGATCTAATTATGTTTTAGGTAACAAATATAAAGCAATAACAAACCAACTGAGGGAGCTCACAGGCATTTACTCCAGACTGTATATTATAGGTAATTTAGACAAAACAAGACTTAGCAACACCTGGCAGATGCGGTTTGATGTAGGCAGATGCAGGGAACTGTACACAGACAGGCGTCTAGAACAAGCTTCCCAAACACCTGACAAATTTAATGTGCTTCCCATGATACAGGTAGGTAGAAGACACAAATTAACATAACATCACTTTATTGGCCACATACAATTTCTTGCATTAGGAATTTGTCTTTTCGCATACCCCAGCTTGCTCTCCATGAGACACACAGACAGGGAGAGAAGCTGGGGGTCAGAGCGCAGGGTCAGGCATTTATACAGCGCCCCTGGAGCAGCTGGGGCGAAGGGCCTTGCTCAGGGGCCCAACGGAGTAGGATTCCTCTGCCGGCTGCGGGATTTGAACCGGCAACCTTCCAGTCACAGGCGCTGATCCTGATCCTGGTGGCACTAATTTATTAAATAATTAATACATCTAATTATTTAAATTTATAATTTAAATAATTATTCTATTTAGATTATAAAGAGAAGAATGAAACACTCAGCTGGAAGAAGCTGTCTACAGGAAAGACTAATATCGTTTATAAGTGTTTCTACTGATATCTCATTTTCAAACAACAAGACAGTTATATAAAGTAAAAGTGTCGAAGTTAAATCCAGGGTGTCATGTTAAATTTGAATAACGGACTAATCAGGCATAAGAGAGAATACTGTGTACGACGTCGGGCCTTTCAGTAGCTAATTGATCCCAGGGTCTCCTCCAGCAGTTTCCCGAAAGAAGCCAGAGTATTATTTTCCAAAGCCATGCTAGGCAACATCTTCCACACTCCCACCCCCTTGGTGAAAACAAACGTTTCCTCTTTAGAAAGGTCAAAGGTTATCTTTTGACATAAAGGGTTGGGATTAATAATCCTCCTTGTCACGTACTGGGTCGAATTCTGGGTATGCAGGCAGTAATGTTGGCTATACTTCTTCCACAATAGTATGATTATGTTCTTGGTACTACTAGTAGTACACTATGTAATATAGAAATACGAATGATTTTAACAACGCTTAAACTTGGCTCACTTAATTGCACAGAACGACGTGAGATACCAGCCTGATCTGTTCTGTTACTGGGGAGGTGACTCTTGCCGTCTCGAATTTGTTCAGCGGCCCCTGCTTTGTGTCCCTGTTCCAAGACACCTGCTAATTCATGAGCAATAAGATGTCATGGACAGTATGTTAGACTGAGGAGCTGACGGATTGGCTGAACTTGAGCATGTGATCTCATTGGCTGATCTGGGCCGATCCAAATCAATAGAAGCGGGGGACGAGGAATTGGAATTGGGGCGCACTGCCAGGTGACCAGACTCTGGCCATCTCACAGCAGTCAAGAAAGGAATGAGTGGACACAGCACAAAATTTGAAAAGGCAGAACACCATGCGCTCGCATGCAATGTTCCCGCCAGAGACAGTTCTCTTAGACTCACTGATAGTGGTGAAGACGCTGGTGAAGCAGAAGTAGTCCACTGCGTTGAGCGACAGGAGGTGAAACAGGAACTGCTCCTTCTCTTCTTCGCAGCGCAGGAAAGCGTAGCGCTTGTACAGCTTCCTGCAGAACCAGCACAGGCAAAATCAGGTCAC